CTGCAAGGAGAGGCAGATCTGGAGCAGGAGGAGGAGACATACTCCTCGAACTTCTGCTGGTCGAACTCGTATTCGACCTCTTCGAGCACCGGGATCTTGATCGTCGGTTGCGGCACGACAGCTTCGGCAGCGAAGCTGTTGGCTCCCACTGTGGTCGCCAGTTTGTTTGCGGATAAAGTTGCTTGTTTCATTGCTATCGAATCTATTACAACTTTAGTCGTTACAATAAACTCGAATAAAATAAAAAGTTGATCTTTTTATAAGATCTCCTTACACAATGAAAATAAAACAATTTTACAACTTTGTCAAACAAACGCAGGGAGATCGTTTATCGATCTTCTGCTTGCGTGGGTGTCTTTGCCTGTGCCGGGGTTTATCCGTGGACCACCGTCGATCAGATCTGATTGCTGAAAAATTGGGCAGAGCTTCGTCTATCCGCGAAGGGATCGAGAAACCGTAGCTCTTATCTCGGTGAAGCGAGATAATCACTCTTCTTAAGATTATCACAACGGGATAATCCTAAGGAACGGATCAGGGCTGCAGATCTAACTCCTCCTCTTTGAAATCTGTGCACTTTAAGTCATCAATCCGGCAGGGCTTCGCCGAGGCACGAGAATTCCAGATATGAAAAAAGTGAGGACCCGGGGTTGTATTTATAGGCTCCAGGAGGTTTCGGGCGGTTAAAACCGCATAACGGGCCTTTTCTGCGTTGGAGACACCCCAGGGTGTCTCAACCTAAGCCGAGACACCCTAGGGTGTCTCAGCTTGGGCCGAGACACCCTTAGGTGTCTCGGCTTTGGCCGAGACACCCAAGGGTGTCTCGGCCTTGGAGGGTGTCTCGCCCGTGCCGAGACACCTCGGGTGCCCCAGTTCAGCCTGAGACACTCCGTTATGCCTGTTTGATTGTTTCCGACGTAAATTCTTCGTCCGGACTCGGATTTGAGTGATTCAAAGTACGTTAGAAAGCCGACGGGGAGTTCTATACGCTCCAATGATTATATCATCAGTTGAACAAATGAGACATGAAGGGTATTTCGCCGTTTGTGAACGATACGAGGTTCCCGATCAGTTCGTATCTTCATCATTCCGAAGTTTCGTTGTTTCACGTAGTTCATCGGTTTACTTCAAGCGTTCATCGACATCAATCAAGATTCTGTGAACCAGATGGTGACGTTCATCATCATTTCTTAACACTGAGCTGTTCGTGGAGACCTATAGGTAATTTTCGATGCCTACACCTCTGTAATAGCTGAAGCAACCTGGCCAATCATGATTCTCCCCTTCAGATAATACAAGGTCCGACTGCGGACTCCCTTCATCACCATCAAAGATCCCTTAGTAACATTTGCTACAGCATCATCAAATGTCACATTGAATCCATTCGCCTCTAAAGCTCCAACTGAGATAAGATTCTTCTTTAACTGAGGAAAAAATCTCACCTCCTTCAATTCACGGACTACTCCATCGTGCATCTGAATCCTCACATTACCTATCTCACAAATGCCACATGATTGATCATTTTTCATGACAACAATACCCCCATCGAGTCTATCAAATGATGAATACTAATCTCGCCTAGGAATCACATGTTAAGTAGCGCCAGAATCAAGCATCCAATCTGATGTATCCAATTAGTTCACCTCCGGAGTAATCAATAAAGAAAAGCTCGAATCATCGGAATCATCACCTTTCACAATATTCACCTTATTGGCCTTCGGACCCTTATTCTTGCTATTCTCCTTCTCCTTGATCTTTGGACAGTCTCTCTTCTAATATCCCTGCTCCTTGCAGAATGCACATTGGTTCTTTCCTAGCTGGTGACGACCTCTTGACTTTGACCTTCCTCTATTACCACCTTTTGGATATGGGCTTCTACCTCTCGTCGACAATATCTCTCTTGAAGTACTAGCGCGGGAAGTCTCTTTATCATTCCTCCTCAAATCATAGTTTGTTAAAGCATTAGTAATTTCACTATAGCTGATAGAAGACCTCTCATTCAACAAAGTGAGCACGAAGGTATCATACTCCTCATTCGGTAAAGAGCCCAATAAAATAATCGCCTTGTACTCATCCGATATCTTCTCATCAACATTCGTCAAGTCCGACAACAACTTAGTGTAGTTGTTCATATGAGCCGCTAGTGAGGTGTCTCGGGACATCTAAAATCTGAACAATCTTCGCAGCAAATGCAAACGGTTCTTAATATTCTTCGTAAGGTACTTATTGTTGAGAATCTCTCATATCTTCATTACAGACGTCACCCCAATCACATCATACTTCAATTCATGTTCTAAACATGATCTGATCAACCCACAAGCGTTCCTATTCATCTTTTTTCATATCGCCTCTTTATATTTTGGTGGTCTCTCTTGGACCATGATGGTCTCCTCCAAATTCTGAGCATTGAGCGCATTTTGAACGTCACTCATCCACAAACCAAAGTTGATCTTGTCGTCATACTTCACCACACTAATTTTGGTGTTATGAAAACCAACTTGGACTGTACTCGTCATCTTGCTGTTTTCACCAACTTCTTCACCCATACTCGCAAACTCCAAATTGCAGAGAAAGATTCAAACTTTAAAAAGAATAAGAATTTACCCAACTGAACCCTAGATTGGATTCCAAATAGAATTCCTAACCATACGAGGAAAGAGAGATCTCCAACGGCAACTTCAAATCCTATCTCCACCGAAGCCTAGAACTCCAAGAACCAAGCTTCCACGAAGAATCTCCTTCCACCTAATGATAAAACCCTAGATCTGAAACGAGGCTCTGATACCAATTATCACGCGCCTATGCGGAAGCGTGCTCGCTCACCAAAGAAGTCGTAAGCACGGGAGAAGAATAACCAACCACATATGAGCACAATCCAAAACTGAAATACGACAGGTCAATCACAAACACAGAGATATACGTGGTTCGGTAATTTACCTACGTCCACGGGGAGAGGATGAGGATATTCCACTAAATCAATGAGAGTACAAAGGGTTACAATCTCACAAAACTCACAAACTAACCCTCAACCAAAGCTCTCAACTTGCTCACAATATCTCCCTCTCACAATGCTCAAAAGTCTCTCTAATCTCTGATTACAACTCTCCTCTTTTTTATGATCCTAATTTCTTCTAAGGCGTTCCATATATATAGAAAACCTAAAATCAAAACAGACTAGGAATTCTAAAACAAAAAATAAAATAAATTGAGATTCCTAATAATCTGTTATCAAAACAGATTAAGAATCATGTTACCAAAATAGATTAGGAATCCTAATAACCTATTACCAAAGCAGATTTGGAACCTTCTATCCTACAAGGACAACTCTTAAAGAGGTTCAGATATGCCTGCAACTCATGGCATGACTTGATATCCGATCCATATTCCATCAAGAAACACTCAGATCGTTTTATTAAGATGCCTTTTTCTGCAACCGGTGGGCTAACGCAAATTGGCCTCTGCCACTACAAGCCCGCCATCAGCCTGCAGGCACATCTCATTTTTGAAAAAGAAATTATCCAAGGTGCAAAAAAACTTTGAGATGCCCTCAATATGTCGAGAGCATTATATTGGACACGATGCCAAAAAGGGCAGCATGCCAGCAACCATGTGCGTATTAGCAATAACGAATACAACTTGAGAGTTGGATACAGCAACGTTGCACCTAACGAATGCTATAAAGCGGCCTGATATTTCTTTCGTTGACATGATTTGCATACAAAACCTGTAGCTTGGGCTTTGAAGTTTTTGAACTCGGAGGGAGAAGTTACCTGCTGGGGAGTTCTCGTTGAGGATCCAAAACAGGAATCAAACAGTCTAGTCAAAAAATACAGACAAGACCGAGAAAAATAAAATCAAAGATAGCAATGGGAAAAGATGAGAAATCGAACTCCAACACTAGTCAACATCCATTAAAACAAGAAAATCGAAGGAGCCCCAAAAATCATTCAAGAAGTAGAGGACTCGCATCAGACTGCGGCCGCAAACATCCCTCAAGTGAGTTGCTTTGTGAACACTACCATAATTCCACCTTATTTACACTGTACTATCTAGTCAACACCTTTTTTATCTTTTGAATGGAAAATGGTGAAGGTAGTGTCAAAGGGAATATTGTGACTAACTAGTTCAGTGGTTGCCTTTTTAGGTTGATGTGGTTGCTAGAGTCTTGTTATACGGGTCTCGAATATTAATCTAGCTGATTTCTTAGTTGATGGAGCTCACTTTGAATATATGACCATCGTCTGTTTTCTTATTGTGCTGATATGACCATGGTTATCACAGTTCGGCATGAATCCGGATCCACTCCGCTGTCAAAAAGTAATAGAAAGAACACTACTTTTATTAGTCGTTGCTGTATTTATTGTGGGGTCGTGATTTGTTTTCCGTTGTAAATTAGAAATGAATGTAATTCATGAAGGAGATAATAAATATTATATTTAGAATGAATTATAATTATCTGTTAAACAAATCAACAGTTATGATAAAAATACTACTCTATCCACTATGTTTTTGACAATGGAGAGAATCCAAATCCATTCTGAATGATGTTTAATACATTGACTTTGCAACCATAGGTTCCTCCTCTACTTGTCAAAACATCCAGAAATTAAATACTCCAACAAGATTCCAAATCAGAGTTTTAATACTACTCCATCTGTTGCATAATTATTTATAATAGAATGAGCATGAATACATGCAAACTTCAAGGAAACTTGTGTGTTTTATATGGAACACATTTGACATTGTAAAATCAATGTAAACTCCGAACCAATTAACATCCTTCACATTTAAGTTCTTCCAATCATGTCAAACTTATAATCCATAATGTAAAATCCCAAGGAGATTTGGATACACACTTAACACTGAATGAGATTTGGGCAAGTTTGTACTTAGTTCAACGCCTGCCTCATTGTAAGAAAACTGAAGCAAAGATGGGAAAAGCCTACTAAATAATTATAAAAACAGGTTGTTTCCCAGAACAAGGAATATCATTACCCAGTATCAAACAGAGGAAACGCAGCCACATTCCTAAGTCCACAAATGTATACAGGTTCAGTAACAATGTCTCAGGGAGTAATAAATCTTACATAAGAGACATGAACATTAAGCATATCCAAACAATCACCACGGTTATGAACCATTAAACATTTGAACTATGAATCAAGTTGGAGTTACCCTTTTTCAGGTTGCTTTCTATGTCTTCCTTCCTTTGATCCTTCAAATATGATGCAGGCTCATATCATCAGCGAGCCTAAGGTTCCATCGGCAACTTGGATGCCACAATTTCCCCTTGGCCTCTGATACTAACACTCACATGCAACATCAGCTTCTTCTTGTCTGGGTCATAAATCTGCCAAAAAAAAGGTATGGAATTCTTTATTCAACAGGTAAGAAATTTCATTTATTACGAGGAAAAGAGCGGAAAAGTGAAACTAGCATAATAATGGGCTTCATTTTCAATAGGTTAAACTGAAAAGATAGAATTATATGCCAAAAAGTTAAAATGAAGATAGTATTTCTATTCCTTCTGATACAAATCAAAATATCCGGTCACTAGCTCACTATGTCCTACCGCTAAAATATCTCTTAATTCTCTTCTATGAACAAAGCATTGGACTGAATAATAGCTATTTATAACTGGTGGTTGCCGCTCTTACTTCCATGTGATTCAAACAGAGACACACTAGAGCTTCAGGGGTTTCCATTTGAGGTGACTGCCTCTCATCCCATAAATTATCCAGTACTATCCAAACCAACTCTATGTCGGCCCCATTAAGAAATAGAGATCCAACTTTATCAAAATCAATAGGAAGAGGGGGCTGACCTACCAAAAGGATTGACAGTGGATATTTAATCTGCAATAGTTTTTCCATCCCAAGGAGCCCCCCCCCGCCGCCAGAGAGAGAGAGAGAGCGAGAGAGAGAGAGATTTCATTTATTAAATATACCAAAAATTTAGCAGTCTACTATGGAACCTAGATGTGAAAGAGCGATATAGGAAAAATGAGCCCCCACAATGAAAAATATTCTTGAATGCATCTACGAAAGTTCGGGTTAAAGTATGTTTGCTTTAGGACCCTGCGCCCCTATTCCTTATGCTCAACCTATGGAAGCGCTGCGCAACTAAGCATTAAGATTGCAGGCATTGCGGTGCCTCACAAGCAATGGCCGAAAGTCGTTGGTTCTCTCTTCTCAATCATTCACCAGCTGCAACCTTATGTGAAGCAGAAAGATGGCATTCGTCGCAGCATCCCCAAGGTTGAGGTTCAGAGAGCATAGAAGAGGGATTTAAAGGGTTAGGAATCTTACTGCTAATATGTCAAGAGTTGGGGAAAAAATTTTGCTCATTGATTATTGATGAAATTCAATGGGGTAATGCTATATACGAATACTAGTTTTTCCCCATGCATTGAACAGGACTTAGAACCATAATACTTTGTATCCATTATATTGCAATATTATGATTTTGATAATTAGTTCTTATTTATATTCAAAAAAATTATACTATAATTTATAAATATTATTGAAATAATTATTTAAAAAATCAATAAAATAACTTGTACTAAGAAGTGCCACAAAAGGAAAATTATTACATAAAAATGTTATAGAAAGAAACACTAACACCGCTAATATATTTAGAAATACAAAGAAAAGTTACTGTTTGCAACTTTTATCTAAATGTTTATAAATTATAAAATAGACACGTGAATAAAAACTTTCACAAACACAAATCTTAAGTCATGATCTTCATTTGATAATTATTTTGTAAGATCTCTATATTCATAATTAGTATTTGAAATCATTTAAAAGAAATTCTAAGTTGTAATCTAGATGTTCTTCTTTTACCATTAATTGTCTAATTATTTTAAGTTTCCAAAAGTACATTTAAGAAAGTGTTACCAAAGTGGTCTAAATGTGGTGTCATAAAAGTATCAGAAACGGTCCCCCCTTTTTCTGAACAAGGTATAATTTCGATTTCAGAGGTTAGTTTCCTTGGGCATGAGTTCACCACCCATACTTAAAAGTGCCCGGCAACCAGTTCTACCAACCATAGAAATTAGCATGCACCAGTATTCTCCTAGGCTCCCAGCCTCCTAGTAAAACTGAAGAACTAACAAGGCTCATCGCATCTACATCCTGAATAAAGACTTCAACTCATTTCCAACGAGTTACTTTAGCACTTGACCCTCACAGATTGAAACTCGTATCTGTAACTTTAGGCTCCAAACGGTCCTCAAACAAATCTAGAAGCACTTCTCACGCACAATGTTTACATATCATCACTTGTCAATAGTTATGCACTAAATTGTCAAGGGAAAAAAATGGACTTAACACGCATTAGGATTTCTTCATAGAAAAAACATGCTCATATTACAAATTTAAGAAAATTTCTATAGTTGAAAGATAAACAAAGAACAACATTGGCAATAATTAGGAAAGCACGAAAAAAATTACAGTTCCTAATAATTATAGGTTTATTACCCTTATCACAAAAGAAAGGGAAAGATAAGTGCAAGAGAGGAAATCAACTTACATCACAAATGCCATTTTTGAGGGCATGAATACAAGTCCTTGAATCGACCAGCTGGTGATATCTCATGTATATTGCAAGCCTTTATACCTCAAACCTGAGAGATATAAGTAACACAAAAGACATAGTAAGGCTTCTCAGTCATTTCCCATTCTGTGAGAAAAAGACACAAAAACAAAAATGAACCAGAGATCTTCTTATCACACCCCAAATCTCTACTTCTTTAATTACTTTCTAAGAACTATCAAATTCAATGGCCTAATCTGCTTAAGAACCATCAAATTCAATTGCCTAAACTGCCTTTATTTTCCCAGAAATAGAAGGGGAAAATATGGTCTGAGAAGTGAGCAACTCTTATGGACGCCAACGCAAACAATGAAGGCTCTATACGAAAGAACAAATAACTTAATAATAAGGAATAACCTGGAGAACAAGGTCAAGTTTAGGAACACAATGCGTTTTTCTAATTCATCCAATCGAGATGTCATAAACTCCAAGTTCTATTACACAACAATGCTCAATGTACGAGTTAGTCATCATAGTCACTACTCATAAGAGAAACAGAAGGAAGAAAGCAAATAAATGAATAATATCTAAAGAAAAAAGAAAACGCAAACGTATACCACTCACTATTCAGATCAATCACGGATTTGTGAAAATATATTTGGTATTTTAGAGGCAGAGGAGGACAAGAAATAGGAACAACAAGATCAACAACAGCAAGAGGAAAAAGTAACATTAAGGTTCTGATAGGAAGCTCCTTAAAAAGACAGAAGCTAAACAAACGATTAATTACACCACTTGCCAAACACACGCATCCCCTAAGAAGAAGAGGGACATAAGATACCCATCTAACAAACAAAAGGCACGTTATTCTAGAACATGCAAACTATTCCTCTTTTGTTTTGTTGGTTCGATACGATTTCATGTTAAGGGGCATATATCATATGCTGGATCTTAATTGAAATGATATCTATAGTGCCTCAACAGTGCTGGTGGATGAGTTGTAAACAGGTGGCTGTTGAGGCATCACTGTGGAAGGGGAGTGGCCGTCGGAGTTTACCCTGTGGAGACGGCTGGAGACGGCACTTGAAGGATCTTGCATGTGTTGGTGGAGCACACACACACTTGGGCGGCGAGCCTGTGCCCTGGCGGTCGCAAGAAGCGGAAGAATTTGAAGACCATGTGCGACGGAGATTGCGAGGCGACAGCAGCTGCTGCTGCTCGCTGCTCTCCTCGCCTCCGGCAACATATGTAGAAGCCATTTTCCTTGATTTTTCTTTTCACTACAAAGAAAATATAAAGGAAAATAATCATGTGGGGGCTCATACACTTTTTCTTATAAGCTGAAATAGATTGCAGATCAAATTTGTCAAGAATTGTGTACAATTCTGGGTGTGATGTTTAAAGTTGGGGGTGTAGGTCCAGAGTCATTGAATAGTCCCCAAAGTTGTCATTTACCATGAAAATATATCACATGGAAATCATAATAAATAAAATTTTATTTCAATATCATAATTCTGATGATAAGAGAAGGACATTGGGCCTAACATTTCTCAGTTGTTATACACTTATCTTTTATTTGCTTTCTCAAAAGCCTCCCAACTCTTAACTTGTTTTGGTTGGGAGTAAAAAGAGGGATATCGGGTCCCTATATGTTCTCTTATAAAATACTTCAGAAATAAGATGGATATCGCCACTGTTATAAATATCGGTAAATAGCCCCCGCAATAACGGCGTGAATAGCGTTAGCGGTCCCTTCCCGCTACGCTATCGCCCAATAGCGGTGACATATTGCGGAATATGCGTTTTTTGCTTGCAAAAACGGCCAATAGCGCCATAGCAATGAATAACAGGCGATTACAGGCAAAATCCATTTTTTGACCGCTATTTAAAAGCGGTTCAAGGTTTATTATTTTAAAATTAAACCTAACCCGCAACCACTACGTCCCACCACCTACCCTAATTTTCCGCATACTCCCGCCGCCTCCCATAGCCTCTCGCACCTCCTTCAATACTTCCTCTCACATTCTCTTGCCGTGAGCTCCTTCTAGTGCAGTTCTCTCACCGCTTAACTCATTTTCTCTAAGACGACGACTCTTTGACTCCTCCAATTGTCTTCGGTGTTATGTGATGGTTTCATATCTATTTCATGTTTACGATCTCTCTAAAATCATCAAATGCATTTTTAAATTTTCTAGAATTTTCTTTAATTTTTTTTAGTTTTTAATATTTATACATATCTAAATTGGACTGTTATTTGACTTAGTGTTTTTTACTGCTATTTTACCACAATAGCCCCAAATAACCTTAGTGATACCTCACCGCTTAACGACGCTATCCGTTATCGGTAACCTTAGATATCGCTTTCAAAGTGCTTCAAAGATATGAAGTGAAAAATCCCTGAAAAAGAAATTCGTAATCAAAAGAAAATATACTGCGTCAAATCAAGTGTAGATAATTAGGCTCCCAAAGAAACTTAATATAGATGCATTTGATGGGAGTTGAAGGGATTATGTCTTCTATGCAAGAGGTATGTGGAAGAATACCAACAAAGGACCCATATCATAGTGGTCAAATTAAGGAGGAGATCGTCCTTAGCAGAACTGAATAAAAAAAATAAGATTCATATAGCTGACCCCAAAAATTCAGGACAAAGCCTTTATGATGTTGCATCGTCGCTGTCGTTGTACTAATAAAGTTATCCACCATCTATAATCCATCACCATGGTTACAATGTTCAGCTTGAAGATGGAAGATGGATTTCTAAAAGGATTTGACAACGAAAACCCAAAAAAGGCCCCTATATTATCACATAGATCTATTTCTTAATCAGGCTTCAACTACAACGGTTCACCTTGCCATAAAAATTTTTAAAAGCAGAGCATAACTATTCCGGTATATTGAATAACTGCTAACCAGCTCCATTACCAATATGATTAACAATTCTTTTATTAACTTGCCAAAATTATAGGCATAAATTTTGATCTAACAATAAACTAACAACAATCTAGTTGGAAAGTATCAGCAACAAAGAACTAAATAACATCTTCACGATTATTAAAATGAATGAAAAATAAAAAGAAATTAAAAAAACGAAATATAATTCGAATACATTATGCACGAAAATAAGCACTATTTTATCTTCATTGAATTTTATAATAATTAATTAAATACGAGAAACATTAAATAATTTATTTAAAAATAAGGGAGGAGGAGAAAGGAGCCTCACAGCACTCAAGACTAGATCTCAGGGAGCCAAAGCGGCAAACTGCGTCTCACCTGACCGCGCCTGGATTTATAGGGCTTCCACGCGCTGCCCGAGCTGCCCGTGGGCAGAGCGGGCAGCCCCTTCCCTCGTCTCTGCCCTTGCCCGCGATTCCCCTCTCCTCAGCCAAAAATACCGGGTCCCACTTCTGTTCCTCCCATCTCATCCTCTATCCCAGCACCGGAAAACATAACCACAGAATATGACACGACCGCGTGTAATTACCTGATTGTACTGTTTGTGGGGTCCAGAAGCAAGTTCTTGAAATTAGTCGGCTTTTGGGGTTCACTGGATTTATATTTAGAGAGGGTCACGTCAGGATGACGTCATCTAACGGCGTTTGTTTTCCTTTTCTAACTATGGAGATGGTTCAAACGGGAGGGCACGGGACCGTAGGCGCCGGGTCGTCTCACTCTGTGTACACGTGCCGAGATGCTATCCGTAGATTTACTGATAACCACACAGGATCCCGTAACGGGATGGAAAGTGTGTCGTGGCGTCCTAGAACAAAGAACACCGTAATGGGTAATGATTGTCGGACACGTGTACTTCAGATTAAGGCGGAGTTGGCAAGAGCTAGAAGGTTAGCCAGTTCTTACCAAATCGTTACGAAATAAATTGGGGTTATCGTGTAATCTTCACTGCCAAATTAATTGGAGCTAATATGTAAACTGATGTTAATTGTATTTCAAATCTCCTATTAATTGTGCAGTATCTAATTTTGGATGCTACATTATTGTTGTCTGCAAGACTGTAATTCATAAGCATCCATATGATTAGGCCTGTCGAAAAAGCCTGGTGTCCGGCCTGGGCCCGGCCGGGCCGAAACCCGGCCCCGCCCCGGAAATCCGAGCAAACAAACCCGATTCCGGGTTACGCTCGTCAGCACGGCGCCCGGAAACCGGCCCGTACAGTACCAGTTTGGGCAAAGAAACCGTGCTAGCGGCCGCAATGCTCACCCTTGGTGACCGGGGTGACCTTTGCAGGCAAAAATCCGGGCCGAGCCGGCCATAACGGTCAAATTGATCGTTTTGGCCCTTAAAACGATAAAAAACGGGTATTTGGTAAGGGTTTTTTTATCATTTTCCTAGGAGGTTGCCTCTATAAATAGAGAGGGTTTTCACTTACCAAAACTCATCTACTTCTTATCTAATACTCTCTTATACAATTTTATGCTCTCTTATACTCTTTAATAATCTCTTTTACTTTCTAATCCTTCCATCAGATGGCTTCTGAATCTGATTATGAAGAGCAAAACCTATCTCCTACCGATCTTGAAATGAGTCCTCCTACAACAGCTACTCCTCCTACCGGTGTTAATCCTGAATCCGGTGGCAGCTAATCTGCACCAAGAGCTCCTAAAAGGCCGAGATCTGATGTGTGGAATTTTTTTGAGAAGATAGACGTTATCAAGGATGAACACGGTAGGATCATCATCCAAAAGGCTAAATGTGCGTGGTGCGGCCAGATTTTCCAAGCTTATCATAAGAGCGGCACCAACCACCTCAAACGCCATCTTAATCCATCTCTCCATTGTTTCACAAATGGATGAGATCATCTACATTGTTTGGGCTCCATCTTAATCCATCTCTCCATCTTGTTTTTTTAGAGAAGAATTTCTAAACTCATATCTAGCTTTACATTTGCATATTTGTTTTGATTATCATTCTTTAAAGCTAGTTTTTATATTGAGTTTAGATTTGATAACTTATTGTTACACACACCCACATTGAGCTTATTGTATTCATACATAGTATATTTGAGTTGGTGACTGTTGTAACTTTGAGTGTGAGCTTACATTGAGTTCCTAACTATTGTAGAGAACAAATCATTTATTATATTGTGAGATTATAAAGTTTTCGGTGAGCTAGAAAACCGAGTGTGAGGTGTAGATGTTGATCGGTGAGCGTTGAAAACCGACATTGTGAGAGTGTGAATTGTGAAGTTTTCGGTGAACTAGAAAACCGAGTGTGAGGTGTAGACGTTGATCGGTGAGCGTTGAAAACCAACATTGTGAGGTATAAACGTTATTCGGGTGAGCGTAGAAAACCAGGTTGTGATAGTGGATTTCTCCCCAGGAGTGGGGAGCTGAGACGTAGGACGGAAGGTCCGAACTCCGTGATCATATCGTGTGTTTGAGTTTGCTTTGGCGTTTCATTTGTGTTTAGTGTATATTACATTCTTGTCGCCATCGTAAATTGCCCTATCACATTTGTAGATTGTTTATTTTACCCTTTTGTTAGTTTATATATCTTTGCTTATATTTCATAATATTTCTCATTGCTAGGATATATTCATTTGCTCATATTGCTTATAACATATTATATATCTATTTTGCAAGAAGAATAGTTTGAATTAGTTTTAATTGGCATAAAATCGGATTAGATTAGCATAAGACCCTAATCAACCCCCCCTCTAGGGTCTAACACATTGGAGGTTTCTGAAATAGATGAATATTTATTTGCTTCTTTAGTTAAATGTTAAGGAAATGCTTTAGATATTTTGCAATGGTGGAGAGTATATGGATCAGTTTCATATCCTATACTTTTCACCATGGTTTGTGACTTACTAACAGTGCAGGTTTCGACAGTAGCTTCGGAATTCGCCTTCGGCACAGCAGGATTGATCGACGACCACAGGACATGCTTAGATCCGTATACTGTACAAGCGGTGATGTGCTTACAAGATTAATGGAGGTACGAGAAGCGAGCGCAAGGCATCGATCAGATGGTTGGAATTGAAGATAAATTTGAAGAATTGAGACTAGCAAATAGATATAAAGATTAAACAATATTCATCAAATTGTAATCTTTATTTCTTAGCTTTAAATTTGTAATGAATTATTTTGGAAATAGTTACAAATGATAGTGATATATGTGAGTAGGTGCCGAACTAGTTGGGATGTACTCATCTATTGTGATGCGACGAATTCTAAAATAAATTTATACTTGTAAAGGATTTACTGATTATTAATAAAGAATTTATTATTATTTTTTTTTATTTTTATAATTTTTTGTATTTGTAATTTATGTCATTTCAAGTTATTAATAGTATGATTGTTTTTTATTAGAATTTTTATGTATATTTCAAAATTTAAAGAAAATTTTAAAAATTTAAAAAAAAAATTAAAAATTTAAAAAAATCTGGCCAAACCCGCTTAGCGCTCCCGGGCCCGGACGCCGGCTAGGGCCACCGTGTCCGGACCCGTCTGGGCTCTGGTTTTGCCCGGTCCGGGCCCGATTTTTTGGGCCGGCCCGGATGGACAGACCTACGTATGATTGTGTTTTAACATAGGGTAATTTTCCACAAGTCCCCTCAAGTTTGATCATTTTTGAGATGGCCACATTAAATTTTTTTAATTTAACAAAACTTTTTTAAACTTTCAGTGATTTTGCATATAACTCCCTTTATCATCTTTTATTTCACCAACCCGGTTGAAGATTGTTCACTTTAAACACCGTCAAATCTAAGTTGTCACACACCAAGTGTATGACAGAAAAGGTGAAAACCCCCTCCTTCCTAATTCATGTAAAACAATTAAAAGATAAAAAGTTCTTACATCAGTGTTATGGGAATAATATTCGCGAACGATAAACAAAATCAATTTTATCAGGCAAAAATTAATATTTGTACCAACTTATAATATTTGTATCGCTTGTACAAAATTGTTGGGGATGCACAATCCCCCTGATGCGATTTGGAAATAGAGATTTAGGAGAGAAGAGAGAAAATCAAACAATCTCAAACACACAAGATTTACGTGGTTCGCTTCTCAATGTGAGAAACTACGTCCACGGCCACAGCAGGAGAAAAATTCACTATTTTTCGTCTCTCTACATCATGCCCTAATCAACCCTTTTATAGACTTAAGGGTTTAACCAATAAAAAAGGAAACAGAACAAAACAGGTTAAAATTCGAAACTGGGCCAAAACCCGACTCCGGTCGACCGCCGCCACACGTGCGCGTCGACCGCCGACAATCCTATTCCTGATCGAGCTCTTCTGGGACTTTGGGGGCCGGTCGACCGCAAGCGCATGTGCGGTCGACCGCTGGCTTGGAATGAGACTGGATTTGCCTCTCTGGACTTTTGCCGGTCGACCGCAGCGCCATGCGCGGTCGACCGCGATGAGCTCCTGGCCTGTGCACCCAGCTGTGCACGACGTCGGTCGACCGCCGCGCCATGGCCGGTCAACCGCGATGCAGAAAACTGTCTCCTTCGTCGTTTTTGCTTGAACTTCTCCATCGTCGATCCTGTTCCTCCTGTTCCAACTTTGTTCCTCCTCTCTTCTGATGTATAGGGCATGCTTGATAGTTAGGCTTCACATATCCTAATAATCTCCCACTTGGAGACTAACTATCAATCTTTATCACCTTTGTTTGCGTCGAAAATTGTTGTATTCATTGCGGTATTCATTACAACTTCGATCGTTACAATGAAAACAAAAAAAAGATTATCTTTTTATAAGACTTTTATACAATGAAAACAAAAGTTTACAACTCTCGTCAAAACAAACGCAGAGATCGTTTATCGGTCTTCTGCTTACGTGGGATCTTTGCCTAAGCCGGGGTTTATCCGTGGACTGCCTTAGATCTGATTCCGGTTGATGAAAAATTCGGCAGAGCTTCGTCTTCGCCGAGGAAGTGTTTGATTTGAAGCGCTGAAATCGACCAAGCGAAATCAGGGCTCTTCTCGAGATTAAGACCAAGCCTAATCTCAAGGGACGGACGGGAACGGGCGTCGGATCTCTCGAACTCTCCTTCTTTATGCCGAAGAACTCGCCAAGATCTGTCAACCCTCGCTGAAATTCGTGCTCCTTTGACTCCACAATCCGGCAGCACCTCCTCGTCTTGATAATCAATCGCCCCTGCTGAAAGGAGGCCCTATGCTTGTATTTATAGGGCTTCGGAAGCGGTTATTTGGATGAGAACAAGTGATTTGGTCTTATCTTTAGTCAATAACAGCCTAACCACGTTTGGGGATGATATCAAGTCAGTTGGGAACCCCTGGAACAGATAAATCCTACGA